AGAGCCAAATCTTTTTTCAGTCACACTTACAGACTATCTTAGAAGATAAAATAGGAATGAATTGGAAGAAAATTAATCCATTCATTACACAGTAGGAGCTCTGGTGGAGCACTCAGCTACCATCCAAAAGGTATTTAGGTAGAACCTACCAGTTGCTCCATGGGACAAAAGACCTGATGGTCTGCTCCCAGAAAGATTACTGGCTTGGAAAACCTTTAGGACAGTTAGTTCTCTGACATATTGAGTTGTTATGTTGTCAGGAGAGGCCGCAAAAGGACATCATGCTGTGAAAGGTGGAGAGTTAGGAAAAAGAGAGGAAGACCCTCAACAAGATGGATGGGCACAGTGACTATAACAATAGGCTGGAGCATATCAGAGATGGTGATGATGGCACAGGATAAGGCAAGGTTCAGATCTGTTGTTCTTAGGGTTGTTTTGAGTTGTAGTCAACTCAATGTCACCTAGTAACAAAACCAAAATGAGCCCAAATCCACATGATGCCATCCAAGAACAATGCAGACATGAAAAATGAACACTATGTAATGGAGATGGGTGATTGAGAAAAGATTAGAAAACAATAGGATTAAGCCTGAAGCTGGACACACCTTGACTGGCCCCTAGAGTACCTCTAATTTGTTACTGGCTAAAAGCTCCGTGGTGGATTCCATCCCATCCCTTCTCTTAGGCTGAGGATTTTTGTTTCTGGTGGCCTAATAGTGAGAAGTTGTGCTGCAATCCCAAAGGCATGAAATTTAAATTCACCAGTTGCTCCACAGGAGGAAGATAGGTATTTTCCTCCCTTGTGGTTTACTGCCTCTAAAAACCCACTAGAGGGTCAGTTATGAGTCAGTTAAAAAAAAAAAGCAGCAGCAATAACAACAGGTGGAATAACAAGGCTCAGGCAGAAGATCTAGTCATAGGCCACCTCTATCAATGTGTCCAGCCTTGATCTCTAGGATTCATGCTACCACTCCACTGGGATTACAGTGGTTTTAGGATACTCAAGAAGAAAAACAACTAATGGCTTGGATTCTGATTGGAGGGTTTCATTCACATCAATAGTAAGCCTCAGGCTCCAGGAGCCTAAATTGGTCACAGGTAGTTGTCATAACTTGTTAATAATGAAGCCCTGATAATGACAGACTCCATTATGAGCAGGAGGGGGCATGCAGTGGACAGTTGGGGCTGGAAATGGGACAGGAAGGGAGCGGGATGAGTGTCAACCTGGGGTAGCTTTGCAGTAACTGAAGGAACATCCACATAATCAACTTGGACTCTGGACTGGTTTGCAGCCTACTCTTTCATTTTTATTTTTTTTTAAGACAGTGAATAAATCTGTATTGAGCCGTTTGGTTTACAACACAGGGTAAAAAGAAAATATGTTTTCTTTAACCAATATTTTAGAGAGTCATAGTAAAATACTTTAGACTTACAGGGATACATTTCTCAAAAATGAAGAGCAAGTAAACAGATTTCAACTTGACTCCTTGAAATCTGTCTTAAACACAACAGTAACCAACTAATGTTATTCAGTGCCTTTTTTTTAATCTTTGTTTAGATCAATCAATATCCACTAATTCCACTTCAAACATTAGTTTTGCATTTGGTGGAATTTTGGCATCAGGTTGTCCTTTTTTTCCATAAGCCCATTCTGGTTCAATCTCTAGGCGAGCCTTTTCTCCCTTACTCATAGTCAAGAGGGCTTCATCCCATCCTCTGATAACTTTACCAACTCCAACCTTAAAACTTAAAGGCTTGGCATTTTTCTTCTTCTTTGAACTTGTTTGAATATTAGTATCAAAAACAGTACCATCCTATAGTGTTCCTGTATACCAACAATGAACAACATCTCCTTTTTTAGGAAAGTTGGTTTTATCTCCCTTTTTAAGAACTGATTTTGTATATTTTGGTGGGCCCTCTTCCAGGGTTTCTTCAGACTTGGTTTCTTTGGGTTTGTCGTCATTAACTTTCACATTTTTCACCTGTTCCGACACCTTATTTATACTTTCAGTACCTTTGAAACGCTTAGTTTCAAATAGATGGTTATAGGCTGTAACTAAATGGTCCTTGTTAGCTGTCTTGGCCACATTTTTAATGTTTCCTAATAGCTTATGTTCTGCAAGAAACAAATCTGAACCGTGATCCTGGAGAAACTTGATAATGTCCTTCTTGGGCAGTTGCTCACTGCGAAGCTGCTCCACGGTCCAGGCCCGCTGTGGGACATTCGCCGCCATCTTCCCCCGCCGCCTCTACTCCACTCACTCTTTCATTTTAAGGTAGATGTTGAAATAAGATTTTGATATCTGCAAGAACTGGATTAACACTGCTAAAGAGAAGGTAAAGCACAGCTTGCTTAGTAAAAGAGTGTATTGCATTTTTGCCCCTTTTGAAAATCTTTATGTTGTCTTTGTAGTCCTCTGTTCCATCTCACATACTTAGGGCATCTTGTCGGGGCCAGTCTTTGGAGAAGGGCATCAGGCTTGGAAGGCCAGCACAAGAGAGGAAGACCATTGATAAGATGAAGTGAGATAGTGACTGTGGCAGTAGCGTCAGGTGTGTCAGAGATGGTTAGGTTGGCTTCGGATAGGGCAAGGTGTTCAGAGCCATTGTTCATAGACTTGCTGTGAATCATAATTGACTCAACAGCACATAACAACAATAGCCCCCTGTTAGGTAGATTGGATGATGCAGTGGATTAAACATGGGAGTGGTAACTGAAAAGCTGGTGGTTTGGACCCACCAGAAAGATGAGGTAGTTGGCTTCCTAAAGATTTACAGCCTTGGAAACCCTAAGGAGGCAGTTCTACTCCGTCCTACAGGGTCGCTGTGAGATGGAATCAACTTGACAGAAATATTAGCTTTAGGCTTAAGCCTTCTGTTTAACAAGTTGCTCCCACTCAGTAAGTCTATAGAACAGAGTAGAACTGTTCCTCCACAAAGTTACTGAGGCTGTAAATCTGTAGAGAGGAGACCACCCTTTCTTCTGTGGAGTGGCTAGTGTATTCAAACTCTTGACATTCTGATTAGCAGCCCAATGTTGACCAGAGTTTCTGAGTGTATGATGATGATGTTGTTGTGTGCCATTGTGTCAGAACTGACCCAGAAGGTTTTCAGACGCAGTTAATCACACAAGAGAAGATTGCCCATCATTCTCCCTTGGAGCAGCTGGTGGCTTTGAACTATATGCTTTGGGATTGCAGTGCAGTTTCTTACTCCATGCTACCAGAGTGGATTATTGGAACTGACCCATAGCTGACCCTCCAGCAAGTTTTCAGTGGTAGTTAATCAAATATGAGGAGGTTGCCCATCCTTCTCCAGTGGAGCAACTGGTGGATTTGAACTGCATGCCTTCAGGATTGCAACACATATTCTTACCACTAGGCCACCAGAGCCGTATGATAAAAAAGAGTAAAGAAAAGATTTTCAAGTCTCTTGGATGAGTACTAGGGAGGTCTGATGAGTGTTCCTCCATTAGTTGCAGTTGTAGATCATGCCACTAGAGGGCGAGCTGTCTAGAGCCCATCTAAAGGACTAAAGTAAGAAAAGAACGGATGAATTTGGCACAAACTACTAGATTAGACTTGGAAGCAGGAGTGGCATCCACTTCCTAAACAACATGCCTCCGGAAACTCTATGAACTTTGATAAATATCAATAGTTATAGAGAGACTTCAAGCCTTTGAGTCATGCTTGACTTGAAGGCAGTCAACATCAACTAGATCATACAGGAGCCCTACCCTCAGTAGGAAGGGAATTGAACAAAGACATGAAACCCTAGAGATAGTTTGTGAAACACTCTTGGTGCAGGCACAAGGTCAGGATACCTGAGCAGTTTAGCTGGTGAGTGGGGTGCTAGGAAAAACAGAGTGGCCCAAATGGGCCAGACTCGAGACTTAACAGTGGGCTCAGTTTATTGTTTCCTTACCACTGTGTCTTTGGAGCCCCTAAACTAGACATAAAACAAGGAGCCAGAGTTGAACAGACCAAAATTGGCTCAGATGATGAAGCAGCCAGTATGGACTTTAGCAAGGGCTTTCAGCTTTGCTTTTAATTGGGCACTTGCTTCTGTGAGAATGGCCCAGGCGCTTCAGTTGTCATGACAACTTGCCTTGCACTAGCGCTATTGTCTGAGCTGCTGAGTGGAGGTAAAGGTATTCTGTTGTCATGACAACAAGATTCCTATTATCTTTCCCCAAGTGGTAACTTAATTGTAGAAGAAATGAGGTTAACAAACAAGAGTGAGGGAGAAGAACAACTCAAGCCTGACAACTCTGAATCACTCAGTGAAGACCACTCAGTGAAGACCAAGAAGAAGAAAATGAACAGTCACAAGAGACAAGTAACTTTTTTTCAATTCCAGCTGAGCTAAGGGAACTCTTTTATAATGTACTCCCCCTAGAAAACCACTTGCATTCTCAACCTTAATCTGTATATGACAACCTAGGAAACTTCCTCCTAGATTGGGGGAGAGCCAGGAAACCCTTTACTAATTTTCAGTGCCCTTTTATTTAACTAACTTGATAAAGTCATCATTTTAGTGCTTACTATGTGCCTGTCACTGTGCCCATGTTTTTATTCACTATCCCAGTGGTCTGGTGGCCTAATATTAAGAAGCTATGCTGCAATTCCAAAGGCACACCTTTCAAATCTGCTAGTTACTTCAAGGAGGAAGAATAGGAAATCTCCTCTTGTGGGATTTACTGCCACTGAAAACACCCGGGAGGGTCAGCTATGAGCTGGTTCTGAGTTGAAGGCACCTAACAATAACAACATGTTACCTTTACAATTATTGGGCAGATAAGCAAATTGAATCAAAGAGATTAAAGTCCTTCGCTTATTTGAGGCTGTCCTAGGGCTAGAATTCAGGCTCCACACCCCCCCCCCCAGTGTAGCCTTAGATTGAATCTTGGTCTGTGTGAGGTTCAGTAAGGAGGAAAGAGTCCGTAAGGAGGAAAGAGTCCCAAGTACAAGGGAAGTAGGCCCCTTCCAAGTTGCACTCACCATGCGTTGGCGTCTCTGCCTTCTTCGAAGTCGTATGAATTCCTTATGCTGACGAGAGACAAAATTGACAGCAGCATACTCTAACAGTGCAGCAAACACGAAGAGCAGGCACACGGCCATCCAGATGTCAATTGCTTTCACGTACGACACCTACAATATCCACCATCAGAACAATCAACCTTCTCAGAGTCTGCCCATGGCCTAACCAGTGAATTGCCAGCCCATACTAGCTGTCTGTTATTCTTCAGTTTTATTCTGAATTTTTTTTCTGCTCTTTAAAGAAGCTGTCCATAATACGTCCCACTATCTGAAGGCTCATGTTAAAGAGATTGGGCTACCCATTTTCCTTCACCTCTCTGCACTCTCCACCTTCCATTTCCATCAACCGGTCTACACTACTTTTCTTTCTTTCTTTCCCCTTCTGCTCATTTTCTATTTCTTATCATTCTTCTCTTCTCTTTCTTGCAATAAACCAGCAATAAACAGGAGTCCAGTTATCTTCATGTCCTGTTATCTTCTATGGTCCTCATAGCCACCATGATAGTCAGGCAAGGCTTATTATTCACATATGAGACAAATGAAGACATTTAATGCTCAGAGACCAAAGGTGAAGGTGAAGAAAGCCCAGTGAGAAGGTGGCACTAGAACTCAGCAGTTCTGGGCTTCTAGTTTTGTGGCATTCCCATTTATGTAGGCTGTAGTCTCACAGACAGGCTAGAAGTCCCTTCCTTTCTCTCTACCTGTCTTATTCTTCCTTTGATCTTAGAATTTTCCCTCCTGCTCTCATTGAGAGTCACTGTTGAGGAATGAATGGAGTTATGAGGGAGTATCAACCACCTCCTTCTTGGGTCATTTCTCTAATTGTAGGGCTCTGTTGATATTCACCTATTCAACCCCTAGTGCACTACTTTTACCATTTGCCTTTGCTGCCTCTAAGGACTTTTCCTTTGTGATGGCTGAATAGTCATATCTCCCCTGGGATAGATTTGTGACTGATTGAGTAGGGCCAGGAGAGAAGACAGACTTCAGTTTTATGAGGTCTTTTCATCGCCTCAGCCAAATTAACTCCCTAAATAATTTTGAGCTTCTGAGCTCACCCCACAAGGCTCCCTCCCTCACACTCTTTTTCTCCAGCTTCTGCTATGCTGGAGTACTGCAGACTCCAGGTAAAAGAGGTTTCACTGTATACATCCTTTAATTCAGCATTCCTTAATCAGGGGAATTTTGGCCTTACATGGCATTTAGTGGTGTCTGGAAACATTTGTTATCATCACATCTTCGATGGAGATGTGATTGATATATAGAGGAAGTGTAGAGGTAGAGGAAGAAGGATGCTGCTAAACATATTAAAATATACAAGACACTCCCTTTCCCCTACAACAAAAAAGAATCTTCTGGCTCAAAATATCAGTAGTACTGAGCTTGAGCTAGAACTCAGTGATGCTATAGGTAGAATATTGATTGATCCAGGAAGCATAAAAAGAAGATAGAAAGAGTATACAGAGTCGCTGTACCAAAAAGAATTGGCTGACACAGAAGAATTTAAAGAAATAACATATAATCAAGAGACAATGGTGATGAAGGAGGAATTTCAGGCTGCTTTGAAGGACTTAGCAAAAAATAAGGCCCCAGGAATTGACATATTTCAACAAACAGATGCTGCCCTGGATGTGCTGCCCAGTTTGTGCCAAGAAATCTGGAGGAAAATGACCTGGTCAACTGACTAGAAGAGATTCATATTTATTCCCATTTCAAAAAAAGGTAAACCGACAGAATGTGGAAATTATCAAGCAATATCACTCAATCATATGCAAGCAAAAACTTGCTGAAGAGTATCCAGAAACTACTGGAACAGTACGTTGATAGAGAACGACCAGGAATACAAGCTTGGTTTAGAAGCGGTTGTGGCGCTATCACCAATGTCAGATGGATCTTGACTGAAAGCAAAGAGTACCAGAAGAATGTCTATCTGTGTTTTATTGATTGTGTGGATCCTGACAAATTGTGGCTAATCTTGAGGTGAATGGGAATCCCAGAACACTTGATTGTACTTATGTAAAACCTATACATGGATCAGGGAGCAGTCCTCAGAACAGAGCAAAGAAACACCACATGGTTTCAAGATCAGAAAAGATGCATCAGGGATGCATCCTTGTCTTCATACCTTTTGAATCTATATGTAAAACAGATCATTTGGGAGGGTGGGCTTTATGAGAAGGAATGTGACATCAGGATTGGAGGAAGATTCATCAACAACCTACATTATGCAGATGACACAACCTTGCTTGCTGAAACTGAGGAGGTCTTGAAGCACTTGCTGCAGAAGCTCAAGGACTGCAGTATTCAATATGGATGGAAGCTCAACATCAAGAAGACAAAGATTCTCACCGCTTGGCTGACTGGCAGCACCATGATGGATGGAGAAGATATTGAGGTTGTTAATAATTACAATTTATTCGGCTCCACAATCAACACTTTTGGTACCAGCAGCCAGGAAGTCAAAAGACAAATTTCACTGGGAAAATCTGCTGTCAGGGACCTCTCCAGAGTACTGAAAAGCAAAAATGTTAGTGTAGAGACTATGGTGTGCCTGGTCCAGGCCTTGGTCTTTGCAATTACTTGCTATGCATCAGAGGGTTGAAGAATGACTAAGGATGACAGAAGAAGAATCAATGCCTTTGAGTTATGGTACTAGAGAAGAGTCTTGAACATACCATGGACTGCCAAGAAAACAGTTTAGTTTGTCTTAGAGAGATTGAAAGCAGTTTCTCCTTGAAGGCTAGGATTTTGAAGCTTCATCTCACACACTTGGGCATATGTCTATGAGGGACAGTGCAGAAGAAGAAGACCCAGGTGAGGTGAATTGATACAGTAACTGGGATAAGGGGGGTAAGAATTATTGGAGTCAGTCAGACTGGCTCAGGACAGGGCAGGCTTTAGAGCTGTTATATATAGGATCACTCTGAGTGGCAGGTGACTCAGTGGCACCTAACAACAACAACAACAACTAAGCTTAAGAAACCCTGCACTACCTCCTTTAAAGCCATTCCAATGAGGTAGTAATGGTGAGTTGCTAGGTATCCCTGATTATGCGTCCCTTGGTGTCTCCACTTTGCTACTGCTAAGAAGTCATTCTGTTTCATTCACCATCTACAGTCCCATGCTGCATATTCTCTAGGGTTGTTCAGTAGATACTATGAAGATCAGTAATTACTTCATGGCAAAGAAGTATTGAAGGGCTTTGGGCCATTGCAGAAAAAGACACCATTAAGTGCCAGAAAGCAATTATTTTTAGAAATCAGTATGTTAATAATACATACCCCTAAAATATCTCTGGAATTCATCCAAGTGAGAAAACAAAGTGATTCCTGGGAGCAGATGGAGTGTATTTGTTCACAGGAGGAGACTGGAAAAGGAAGTTCTCTTGTCAAGAACAAGGCATACACTGCACTACTTTCCTATGTAAGAGAAGAATCTTCTCCAGGTGTGGCAGTGGTAATAAAGTAGGGCAGAATTCTTGAGTCTGAACTGCTTGTCTGGCATTGGTCTTGATCCAAGGCAACTAGCCTAGCATAGTCATTGTAGCCCAGCCTGGCCCTACCTGCCGGCCCTACCTGCCTTTTAACACCTCATCAATATCTCTGTATACCTTGTTGTTGTTATGTACTGTTGAGTCAGAATCAACTCCTTCCTGACCCTCCATCAGGTTTTTAGAGGCAGTAAATGACATGGAAAGTGATCACCTATCTTTTCAGCAGAGCAGCTGGTGGATTCAAACTGCATGCTTTTGTGTTGGCAGCACAATTCCTTACCACCAAGCCACCAGAACTCCCTTTAGTATATCTAGAAAACACATTTACAAAACATGATCTCTGACAACTTCTGGAACCCATGATCCTAATCTGAGCATGGTCATCACTTATTTCTATGGGACTTTGGACCACCTCTAGGGTTTTCCATCAACTCAAGAGCTTGATGGGAACAACACTAGCTGTTTTAGCTCAAGTCCATCACTCATATCTTTCTACTCTGACATCTGATGACAAAAACAGATTGTTGTTGCTGTTGTTTGGTGCTTTTGAGTTGACTGTGACCCTGTGAACAACAGATCTGAACCTTGCCCTATCCTGAACCATCATCACAAGCCCATTATTGTAATCACTGTGCCAATCCATCTCATTAAGGGTCTTCCATTTATTGAATAGTTACTATGAGCCAAATACTATTCTGTGTTAACACATTTATTTCTTACAATAACTGTATGGAAGAGATAATGCTATTGTTCCCTAAGGTTCACTGTTCCTTCTTTTCCCCTAAAATTCACTAATAATAGATGGTGAGTCTGGGACTTAAATGTAAATCTGCCTGATTTCTTAATTCCTACTCTATACTCTCATTCCCGTTAAATGGGAAATTAATCAATTCATTGTAGATATCACAGATTACCTCTAAATCCTCCATTTGACTATGGAACAAGCACTAGGAGATGGGAGATTACAGGGTCTGATTCTCACTCAACTAGAGCAAGAAGAAATCTGTTCACTGGAAGATCCACAGAAACTCTGTAGGATTTGCAACTCATCATTTCTCTATGTCCTTGTATAGTGTCTGGTACACAGAACATGTGCACAGTAAATATATATGGAATGAATGAATGACTCCCTGATTTGCTCAGAACCTTGCTGACTATAAGGGCTTTGAAATGACCTCTATAAATTCTCTACATGAAGACATAAGATAGGGAATACTGGGCCCCTTTCCATCAGCACAAATATCTCTGAGTAATCAAAACATCACCAGGGCCCAGCAGATTAGAGTTCACTAACTTTAATTGCTATGTGCTACCTTGGAATTGTCTCATCTCAGACAAATGGACACTATCTTCTAGAGTTCTTTGTCATAGTATCTAATTTTGGACCAATTGAGAGGAGAGATGTGAGTTCAAAATCCTGCTACTGTTTCTGGTTTCTCGTAGGGTATGATGTTGAGAAGGTCATTCTACATCTTTGGGTTGCATTCCCTCATTCTACTCACTAAGAACCCTTTAACCTTGGATCTGAAGAAAGGACTTCTGGAAGAAGTAAAAATCAAGCAGGTGTCTTCTGTATTCCTCTAGCCAGACAGTATCCCTAACTTGAACTTCTACATGTTGTAGAGAAAGAGAATGGAGGACACTTGCTTTTACTCAGGAGCTCTTCTCAACCTTAAATATAAGGTGAATGGGGAGTATGAGGGAGAAGGGGGTGAATGGAAAATGGAGAGCTCTATGGCAAGTAAATTCTCTACACGTCTCTTCACCTTGGGCAAAGAGGCCCGGGAGCCAGAGCTCTGAGTTGTCATGGTAAGCACGGTGGTGATGCCCAGACCCACACGGGCAGGGGCAGCATCCATGTTGATCCAGAAGGAGACCCAGGACAGGATGACGATGAGTAGGCTGGGGATGTACATCTGAATCAGATAGTAGCCCATCTGCCGTTCCAAGTGAAACTTCACCTCGATGCAGGTGAATTTCCCTGCAAGGAAAGAGGTGGGGTATCAGGTCCCAGCTCCTCAGCCTGCAGCTGTTCATAAAGGGTCAGAATCAAAGGCTACTTTTCTCTGTTGTCCTGCCTCTGGACACCTCAACTGTGCCAGTCAATGGCCAGCTTCTCAAACAGCCTCTGGTAGTGCCAGATGTGTGTACTAAGGAAACTTTCAGAACAACCATGAGGGAGTTGATGTCTGGCTCTGACTACTTTAACTTGCCACATACAAGCAGATTAAGTAAACAGATTAAGAGCAGTAGGGCTGTAGAGCCAAATCCCCTGGATTTGAATCCTCAGATTTCCACTTACTAGCTTTGTGACATAAAACACCTAACCTTCTTGAACTTCATTTCCCTTGCCTGGAAAATGGTGTAATGATATCTCCTCCAGCACTAGGCTATTCTAAGAATTAGATGAGATAGCACATGGACAACTGTTACTATTGTTATCACTTTCAACAACAACAACAAAAAATCTTGGATTCTCAGCAGACTTCTTTGGACTCCCTACTACCCCAGGAGCTCTTTAGTTCATTAGGATAAATGCTGCCTGTGTCTTGAGCAAGGGAGGACAGCCAGGTAGCAAATATCTGGAAACAGTGCATGACACAGAAACCAGCTCTGGACAGTTGGCAGTGGTTTCCCATGAAGCATTAGGCATCAGCATTCTATTCCACCAAAAAAAAAGTGCATTAGATTGAGGCACATGTACCACTGCTCAGTCTTTCCTGCCAGCCATCTTCACTTTCCTCACCTTCCCACATATTTAAGGTTAAGAAGATACTCCCTCAGAGCTTCTTCCAGAAGCAGAGGGTTAGAATAACCAAAGCAAAAAGGGAAATATGTGTGCATTCTTATTTTATTCTAGCCTAGGCCTACCCTTATTATGCCTACCTGATTCCTCATGGCCAGTGATTCCACCAATGATTGATCATGTGTGTAATGCAGTAATGTCTTACTGTTGCCAAAGTCAACTTTGTCTGAACCTTTTCCTGGGTTTCTTGTCATGACATGCATTTACTCAAATGAAAACTCGAACTCATTGACTCTTCAGCAGGGTTTCAGAGGCTGTAAATTACATGGCAGGTGATTGCCAGTCTTTCTCCTGAGGAACCACTGATGGATTTGAACCTCCTGTCTTTGAGTGGACAATTCTTTACAGACTATGCCACCAGACCCCTTGCATTTGCTAGGTACCCATATTTCCTGCTTCCATCCTACCTCCCAAAACAACTGTTTTGTTTTTAACTTGCAGTGTGGTAGCCAACATCAACTTAAAGAGACTTCATGTGTATCAGAGTAAAACTGTGCCCTGTAGGGTTATTTATTTATGGCTGATGTTTTCCCTCTGAAGTGGATTGTCAGGCTTTTCTTCCTGGACACCTCTGGGTCGATTTGAATTGCTAACCTTTTGGTTAGCAAAAGTTTATTGATTGTTTGTACCACCACAGGAATTTCTTTCTTTCTTTTTTTTTTTTCTTTTCACAAAATCAGCATGTATTTAGTACATGTAATACCCAGTTTAGGACACATTTGAGTTACCATGAGTCACATTTATGTTGGTTTTTTCCACTATATACATTATTGCATCCCATAATTTGCTGGTGTTAGATAGTCATTTGCTGATGTTTATATGCAATGTTTCCAATCCCCAAAGATAGCTAAAGACAAGATTTATAATAATACTGAAAGTGTTGCTGTTAGATGCTGTCATGTTGGTATGGATTCATATTAGCCCTCTGTACAAGAGAATGAAACACTGCAGATTCTGTGCTTTCCTCATGTTGTTGTTAGGTGCCATCGAATTGAGTAGGACTCATAGTGATATGTTCAATCCTACTGTTACAGTCACTTTTTCAATCCATCTTGTTGAAGATCTTCCTTTCTGTCTCTGACCTTCCACCTTTCACAGTGTGATGACTTTTTCTAAGAACTGGTCCTTCATTACAACATGCCCAAAGTATGTGAGATGAAGTTTTACCATTCTTGCCTCTGAAGAGCACCCTGGTTGCACTTCCTCCAATATAGACTTGCTCATTCTTTAGGCAGTTCATAGGATATTCAGTTCTATGCTCCAACACCACAATTCATCATCATAATCATTGTTCTTTTGAGCAAACTTTTGCACTGTCAGTCCATCTTGTTGAGAGTCTTCTTTTTAATCAACCTTCTGTTTTACCAAGTATTTTATTTTTCTCACATACCTAAAATATATGAGATAAAAATCTCAACATCATAATTTTTTTTAAAAAAAGTTCTATCTTAACAAACAGAAATTTATTCTCTTACAGGTTTAGAGGCTAGAAGTCTAAGTTCGGGATATAAAGACTAGGGGAAGGCCTTTTCTCTATGTCAGTTGTGGAGGAATCCTTGTTTGCGTTAGCATCTGTAGGCCCAGTGTTTCCTGAAGACCTCTGTGTGTTCTGGCATTCCTTGTTGCCAAGGAGTTTTGACATGATGGGTCTCAGATACAAATAGATTCACTGTACTCTTGGCAATTATTTCTTTGTTGTACTGAAGGCCCCATGCCTGTGTTCTATTTCCTCCCTTTTGATCTCGATTAAAATGTTGTTAAGTGCTGTGCTCATAAACTCCAGCATGCTTAAGTCCATTATTATAGTCACTATGCCAGTCCATCTTGTTGAAAGTCTTTCTCTGACCCTCCACCTTTCCCAGAATGATCCCTTTTCCCAAGAACTAGCCCCTCCTGACAACTTGCCCAAAGTATGTAAGATTAAGTTTCACCGTCTTTACCTCTAAGGAGCACCCTGGTTCCATTCATGTGTTCTTTTGGCAGTCCATGAGATGCTCAATACTCTTCTACACCACCATAATTCATTCTCATAATCATTTTTTCTTCTAAGACAGATTGGTTTTTTATTTTGGAAGTCTATGGGGTATTCAATACACTTCTCCAGCATCACCAAGGGAGGAGCTCTTGTGAAGTAGCCTATAGCAAGTTGTGCAACTTACCCAAAGGCTACTCATATTCAGAAGTTTGAATTCACCAATGGCTCCTTGAGAGAAAGACAGTCTCCTCCTTACCTTGGAAGCCTGGTGATAAAGAGTCGCAATGAGATAGAACAAACCAGTAAGATCTCAAAAAAACCCTCAAACATAATAGCCGTCAAGTTTTAACATATTTAAAATCAACTCATAGACCCTCCAGAGGGTTTTCTAAGGTTGTAAATCATACAAGAAGATTGTCCATCTTTCTCTTTTGGAGCTTCTGGTGGATAGTAACTAACAAAAAGGTGCTGCCTTTGGGTGAGCAGTGCAATTCCCTAAGAACTATACTACCAGAGCTCCCTAAATGGTGAAATAAGAGGTGTTAAAAGGTTACACCCCAGGGAAACTCCCCTTACATCCATTTAGGGCTGTGATTCGATTAAAGAGTGCAGCATTCCACCATTAATCTTCATATAACTATTTGCCTTATCTGGCTGTGGGGACTCATCATCACATATTTTCCACATAATATCATTGACGGGAGGCACAATTCAACCTATAACATTTCACTCTTTGGCCTCTCAAAGTTCATATCCTGTTACATGCAACATACTTTTATCCCATCATATCCTCACAAAAGTCTTACATCAACTTCAAGTCCAAATCTGTCCTGGGGCAAAATCTTCTTCATCTATGAATCTAGAATGTAAGTTATTCACTTCCAAAGTACAATGGGGATACAGGCACAAAGTAGACATTTCCATTACAAATTAGATAAATTAGAGGGAACAAAAGGACAACAGATACCGAGCAAGTCAAATACTCAGCATAACCAGTTACATTAGCCCTCAAGGCTTAAAATAATCCTTTATTCTCTGAGACCATCTAGGTAATGGTTTTGTCCTCCAGACTTTTCAGTCTTGGCCACTATCTTTGTGCTTAGGGATAGGAGCCCCTCGGTCTCAGCTTCAGATCTGATTTTCAGGCTCACTCAGAGAACAATTCTGCCCTCTCAGCTTTGGGTGACCCCATTCTTCTAATCCAATTGAGTGGTAATCCCACTTTCTCTATTCCAAAAGGCTCTTTGGGGCATGACAATCCTGCTCCCTCAACTCTGGGCAGTGGCCCTATCTTAAAGGTAGCCCCATACTCTGGAACCAAGTTGGCAAAGATGTAACTCTTTGAAACTTAGGAAACTGTGACTCTCCCCCTATCCCTAGAGATCCCAGAAGCAAAGGCCCTACTTTGAGACCCCAGAGATAATAGCCTTATCCTTTGAGATAGGCAAAGAGGCCAGCCTAGTCTCTATCCTGTTCAGCAAATGACAAAGTTCTTTGGCTTGGCTGTTAAGTTTACAGAGGTATCTCACTTGCCAGTAAACTTTGGCTCAAAGGCACTCAGCTTTCTAACTCTGTAGGAGGGCAAGCCCAGCTTCACCAACAAGTGCTGAAATGTACTCTATTACACTAGGAAATCTCCTGCTGGAAGACATTCAGTTCTCTTGCTCAATGGGTCAATTCCCATGCCATCTTTTGTGGTCTCTATCTCTGCACAGGTCTCCTAGTTCTGCTGCTGCTGTTTCTCTGTTACTGCTTCTCATTGTCTGTGCTTATCTCTGGTGCTGAAATTCTCCTTTCATTTGAATTGCTTCTGACATGTAGAAGGCCACCAAACAGTCTCTTCAAGGCAATCTAGACTTAAAAATTTTATACTGGTTTATTTACAAAGTTCGTATACATTGTTTTTCACACTGGGTCTTTCCCCTTTCCTTTAACCACCCCTTCCTCCACCCATCAAATTATGTGACCCTATGATTAAGCACCCCCCCATCCTCACCCCTCTGCTCACACCCTCCCCACCTTGGATCCTCATACTTGTTCTATAATAATGGTCTTATACAGTATTTGTCTTTATGAGACTGAGTTTGTTCACTTACCATAATGCTCTCCAGCCCCTCCCAAGCTAGGTAGTAATTTACAAAACTACTACTCCTGCATGCTGCGTAGTATTCCATCATGTGAATGTTTGATAAATTCTCTATGCATTCCATTGTAGTTGGATATTTGGGCTGTTTCCATGTTCTTGTGATGGTGAATATCGTTGATATGAACATTGGTGTACAAATCTCCATTTGTGCTTCAGTTCTCATTCTCTCAGGGTATTTGGTGCCATTGAGTCAACTACAATTCACAGTGACTCTGTGAAGAACCAATCTGAATCCTACCCTATCCTCATAATCTCTGATATCCTCAAACCCATTGATATGGTCACTATGCCAATCTGTCTTCTTGAAAGTCTTTCTATCTTTCACTTACCCTCCACTTCTCCTAGCATATCTCTCTCTAAGGACTGGTCCTCTTGAAAATATGTCCAAAGTAAGTGAGATGAAATTTCACCATCCTTGCTTCTAAGGAGCGTTGTAGCTACACTTTTTTCAAGAACTGTTGCTTTGACAGCCCATGGGATATTCAATTCTTTTTTTTCCCCCAATGCTACAATTCAAAGGCATCAATTCTTCTTCATTTCCTTAATCATTGTCCAATATTTCAGGAAGCAATTCAAAATACCATGGTTTGGAGCAGGCACATCTTAATCTTTAAACTGATATCCTCACTCTTTAGAACTTTGGAGTGAGGTCTTTGACAGCATATTTCCTCAGTGCAACATAGCTTTTGATTTCTTGACAGCCAGTTTCAAGTAAAATGAAATTGTTGACAACTTTAGTCTTTTTTCCATCTGTCGTGATGTTGCTTATTGGCCCACTTGTATCCCAACTGAATTTTAAAATCATCTTAAGAATAGATTTGACACATTGAACACTAATTCCTGAAGACCAGATAGGTTGTGGAATGACATCAAGGACATCATCGATGAAGAAAGCAAAAGGTAATGATAAAGACAGGGAAGAAAGAAAAGACCAAAATGGATGCCAGGAGAGACTCTGAAACTTGTATTAGAATGAAAACAAGTTAAAACAAGGGGAAGAAATACTGAGGTAAGGGAGCTGAACAGATTTCAAAGGGCAGCTCAGGAAGACAATGCAAAGTATTATAATGATTTTCCTTTACTGTTAGTTACCTTAACGTTTTTCTGGACTTTCTGTGTTATTTAGTTCCAAAACAACTTCCCACATTTTAGGTATCAATCAGAGTATCACCTCACTCTTCCAGTCCAAAATTCTTAATTATCTAATGATGCTTGCAAAGATATTACCAGTAGAGGCCTCAAACAGACCAAAACTACTCCTATACTTTAAAAGGCTACACAAGGCCAAGTTCAGGATATATGTTCAAGGGGAAGGTCCTCTTTCTGTTTCAGTTGCAGAGGAAAGTCCTTGTTTCTTTTAGCATCTGTAAGCCCAGTGTTCTCTGGAGACCTCCACATTCTGACCTTTCCTAGTGTTCAAGGAGTTTCATCGTGTGGGAGCTTGGGTCCAAAAGGACACACTCCACTCCGAGTGATTATTCCTTGGTGGTGCTAACAGGCCCCCTTGCCATCTTCACTTTTAAAGATCATTCTGATTGGACTTCTTCCAAGATAGATTTGTTCATTTTTCTGGCAGTTCATAGTAACTATTCCTTGCCAACATTGTAATTCAGAGAAATAAATTATCCAGATTTTATTATTGATTGTCCTATGTTTTATAAGCATATGAAGCTATTTAAAACACCATGGCATGGGCTAGGTATACCTTATTCCTCAAGGAGACATCTTTGTTAAGACAGAGACAGACAGGGAAGAAGCATCTGACAATCTACTTCTGAAAATAATTGACCAATGAGTACCTTATATAGACACTGATCAAAAAAGGCAGTAATAATGAAAATGGGGATGGGTGAAAGGATATTTGGCTTATTCTAGAACCAGTTTCTAATGAAGGTATTGGAATGGAACCTTTGTCTAGGTCTGGACTATATGCATAGCAAAAGTATAAAGAGAAATTAATGATAATCTTTATAGCTCACATTTATCAAGCTCCAACAATGCCATTCACAGTTTGTATATCATCTTATTTAATCCCTCAACAACTCTAATAATAGTATCTCCCATTTTACAGACAGGGATACTGAGGTTCTAAGAGATTAAACTATGTTCCTCACATCAAAGTTTGGAAACGAGTGTCATACAAATAGCCATTTCTACCCCCAAAAGGGTACGGTGATTTCCACTCCTCCTTGAACTTTCTAAATACTAAATTTCTAAATTTCTCTCTCCTACTCTGTACCCTCATAAACATTCACACACACATTCAGAGGACAGTCCCAAAGTCTATCAGTAATGAAAAGAACTCAGAGTCTCTCTCCCCTTTTCAGTCTTTTACCTCTGCTGAGGTTCTTAGATACTCCAAGACAAATTGATAGAGGAAACTAGGAACTAGCAGCTTTAAGGGATATTGTAGGGAGCAGATGTTTAGGCCAGAAAAGCAGTCCTTTCCTACCTTCTGGCCCATGTCTCCCACCTGGAAAAGCAAGCCAGTTCTTGAGACCTGGGCAGTGATAGTTGCGGTCAGCAGTGTGGATAGTAAGCTGGCCAGAACTTTGGGCTCTGTTCTCTCTTTATCCAGTGTAGCCATTGACTACTCCAAAGTGTTTATTCCCCAATTTCCACACTAAGATGGGTTCCTTCCTGCCACTTACTGACACAGGCCTTTTTGCTCTACAGCATGTTAGGTCTAGATTAAAATTCTGAGTCCACTATTTACTAGCTTTGTGATTTGGACAATTGATATGACTTCTTAGAACCCTAATTATCCCATTTTGAAAAATAGGACTGATAATCCCTTCCTTACAGGTTTATTGTGCCTTTGGAATGAGATAAGATATATGAAGCACTTACCACTATATCTGGCACAGGTTGCCTTGCCCCACTTCCCTCCTCTCTGGAAGCCAATAATAATTCTGAATTTTTACCTGTGTTGTAGTGCTTGGTACAATAGCCTAGATCCTTCTCATCCCTCAAGATAAACTGGGGCAAAGTCAGCCCCTCAGCCACTTGGACAGCAGGAGCATCTTCCAGCCACTCAAACACGAGGTCATTCATGGTATAGCCAACTGAAACATGACAGAGATGACAGAGCTACAGAATTTGGTTGTTGGGTAGGAGTCAGAAGTTGGATCAGAACTGGCAGGAAACATGGGATGAGGAGGAAGACCTAGGCTTCAGGAGCTTCACACTGCTCACGTTGAAAAGGGAGATTTGACCTGTTGTATCATGGGCCCACCCCTCACTAAGGAAATGAGGAAGATTTCAGACTCTTGTCATACCCAGTTCTCAAGCCTAAGAGAAGTCTAAGGAGAAATTATTTTTGTAGACCTAGAAAGCAGGTCAGGAGGGTTGGAAAAATGTCAAGGAACCCAGCTGGGAAGTTTCTGCCATATTTCAAACCCAAAGGACTGAGCATGTGTACAAACCACATGTTTTGAGGCTTAGCCAGCCTCAAAACCAGGGCTTCTGCCACTTCACCCAAGGGAATTAAACACTATTTATATCCTGCTAGTCATGCATGGGACAATGGATGCACAACAGAGTACTATCCTGGGTCTTGAATTTGGACAAATTGAGAGCTAACATCTGAACATGTCAAGTTGCTCACAAATAGCTAGCTATCATGACTGTGTTCAGATATATCAGGCAAAATTAGGAGCAGAGACATCAAGACCAAGGCCAAAGAAAAACCTTGACCCAAGTGGTTGTATAACTTTGGGTAAGCCACTTTCCTATTTGTAAAATGAGGATACTAGTAGATAATCTACCTTTCTTTCAGAGCTGTAAGGGGCTATTGAGAATCTCCATGTGAAAGTGATTTATGAGCTCGAAAGAACTTATCATATTGTATCCACTCTGGAAATAGTCTTCCAAACATTCTCTGAAGACCAGATAACTTTCTCTTGATCTTACAATTACAACTTACCCAGGAGTTAGAGAAAGAGTTGAAGTAGGTGGCGGTCTAGCCTTTTCATCCCCTGCCACTTCTTTACTTTGAGCAGCCCTTTCTGGCTGGCACTTCTGTCATAGAGTTAATAGACTTTGCCTTTGTCTCTCACCTCTACCCTGAGCATTGTCCTATGCTGAGAACAGTCTTCTCCCGACCCTCTACAGAGGTGATCTATTTTCATGGATAATCAAGGATTAGAGAGTTTCCCTTTCCTGTTAACACTGACACTTTTATAGTCACCTTCACTGTGTTAACTCAGGGGGACTAAAGAAAGATAGAATTACTTCAGGTACTGTGAAAAAAGGGAAGGGTATCTCTTAAATTGCTCCACAACAAGCACAAGCACATGTGTATGTAGGCCTGGCACCTTCCCATTCCCTGGCCCTGCAGAACAACCAGACTAGCAAGTATTGTGGAGATGGAAAATCCTGCTGTGCGGAGTGTTAGGGAGTCCTGACTCCTAATCTTATTTGCACCAAGAACTGACTTTGTGTTTGACTGTTTAAGTCCCTCTCCATTATGAGTTCCCCTTTTCCTGTCTCAGATATTCATGGGGAGGGATTGACTAGTGAGTATTCTTGGCTTTGTCTTATAACTCTTTCAAGACACTTACAGCTCTCCAGCTGCATTGTGCAGGTCTGGATATCCATGGGGAAGTTCTTGAGATCCATCGGGCAGGACAAAATGAGAGTTAATCTGTTGGGGACAATAAGAAAGAAAAGACAATGGCTTCCTGGGGTCTAGCCCAGCACAGGAGATTCTCTTCTCACCCATCTGTCCATATCTGACTTCTTCCCCTTGCTTCACACTTTCCTGGCCCAAGCACACCTGATGCTGTAGAGAACATTCCCATTCTTAAAGATGCGCAGTAACTTGTTGTCTGTGGTCACCTCATGGAAATTGGCCCCTTTCTCATTTGCAAAGAACAAGTCTGGCTTCCAAATGGAATCCAGCATGGAGGGATCCAGGTCCAATGAGTCATCAGGATATTCTTGATAGGCTAGGCGTGGGTCATTCCACTGTTGCCGCAAGAAGACATTCACCCGGTAGTCCTGGGAAGGGACAGAAAGTGGTGCATTACTGGTAGTGTTATTCCCACAGACCCAGCAAGCCTATATGGGCAGGAGGGCCATGAAAAAAGAAATGGGAACACATTTATCAGAGACAGTGGGCACTTTCCACTACAGACAGAATCTGCCTTGGGTTGCTGTGGCAAAGGTGAGTGGAAACAAGGCACTTTTATCATTCACTTATTATGTGCATTATATATATATATATATATATATATATATATATATATTATTATTATCTGCTAAGAGTTTTCTTTATATAGACATCTCATCTAAATCTCTTTCTCACCAACTCTGTTATAGTCCCTATTTTAGAAATGAGAAAACAGAAACAAATAGAAATTGAAATATCCTTACCAAGATCACACACCTACTATGTGGTAGAGCCAGGATTTGAACCTAGGACTCTCAGATTTCAAAGACTGTGCCAGCTTCACAGTGGCCTAGCTGCTACTTAGACTTGCTTCTCTTTAGCCATGTAAGCCTATGGTTCTGGAAAGATGACCTCTCTGTGACCAATTCCAGACACTGTATGACTTTAACCATGACTAAAAAAAGAGAGAGAGGAAAGTAGAGGGAAGAAAGGCTTGCTAACTGGTTTTTCTCTCATTGACGCTGGAGTGGAGGTGGGGAGCAGAGAGACCCCTTACCATAGTGGTCTCAGTGACGGAGCCAAAACTGTTGATGAAGATGTTGCAGGTCACGTTCACAGGTGGGCCTAAGGGCAGAAGAACACAGCTCATTGGTAGGATATTCCAGGAGGCTGGGAGCAGATCCCAGGACTCCCTCCTAGAGCTGCAGGCCAGGACATTGCTGGGAGAAAGCAGACAGCTCCAAAGGCCCCAAGGACTAGTGGGAAAGTTGTCTCCTGAACTATTAGAGCTATCTGGGTAGTATATCCCCAAAAGGTGTGAAGGAAGAGTGTGGTTTTGGTTTTGTTTTTAGGATGAATTCTTTTACCTTTAAAATTGGGCCGAATCCTGGCATCATATCCAGATGTTCGTCCCATAAGCTTGTCGAGGAAATCAGAGGGGGACATGGGCTGGGAGATCCCCCTGGGCCCAGATTTGACTTCCTCTTTTGCCACCGCCACCCTGGACAGGAGAGTAAAGACATCTGAGGCTAATTGTATTTTACATTTGTCACAAAGCCCTCTCTACCTCGGTTCCCAGCAACCTCTGGCTGGTCTCCCAATCAGGTAGGAGGAGAAGAGATAGCAAGTATTTGGGTGTGTCTTTCCAAAACAAGGAGAACAAAGCCAGACAGAAAACAACAGTACAGCTCACTAATTGTTGTTGTTTGTTATGTGCCATCGAGTTGCTTGCGACTCATAACGACAACAGCCCTAAACTTTGCTCTGTCCTGTGCCAATCGCCCTGCCTCTGACACTCCCATCCTGATTACCCCAGTCACTGAATCAATCC